TAAAGGCATAAAACTGTACAGGGACATGATTAAAAAAAAAAAATGTAAATGCATTGAAAACCAATTAATCTGTTCGTATTGCGAAAAAAAAAAATGTAAACAGAGGCATTATTTTCAATGGATTTTCATTTTTAACCCTAAAATTACGATAACCGTGGCGTTTGTAAACCGAGGTACACCTTTATTCCTCATAAAGCAACAGTGAAGAGGCAAGCGAGCGACCAGATAGGATTATTGCACCACATCCCTTAAATCTGCAAGTATTCAAGAGAAGATGGGACTTTCAGGGTGCATGAACATGAATACCAAACATTTTAAAAAGTTACACAATTTTTATTTCGTATTTTTGTAAAAAACACAAGAAAGGAAAAAATACAGAAACATAAAACAATTTCAGTTCTAAGAAAACAACTGAGATTCAAACTTGGTTATGTAATTGTAGTTACTCCCTGGGATTCAAACCAAGTTTGAATCTCAGTTGTATTCTTAGAACTGAATTTTTTTTAGGTTTCTGTATTTTTTCCTTTCTTGTATTTTTTACAAAAACACGAAATAAAAATTATAGAACTTAATATGTTTGGTATTCATGTTCATGAACCCTGAAAATTCCTAATAAAGCAGTCACTGAGGCTACATTACAAAGGGGTGGATAGTATGGATAGTTTGCATAGTATGGACATTTTTTTTTCCTCCATGCATTGGTTTGGCCAACTTGAAGCCGAGTTTTTTTTTTTTTTTTGGGGGGGGGGGGGGGTATGACAGGAGTGACTTTGGGTGCGGGGCCCATGGAACCCACCTCACTTTGGAGAGGTGGGGAGACCAGTCTCAGCTCCCCATATCCCTCTTATGTGTAAGTCACCCAGTGTCTGATAGGGGTACAGGGTGGAATGTCCTGATATTGTGTAGACATGTATAGGAGATAGGTGGGGTGGGGTTTGTTCATTGTTTAATGCCATGTGGTTGTATCCCATTGTTCTATTATGTGTCTTGCTTGGGAGCAAACTATTATGGGATGTGTGTGTTTGTGTATTGGCTTGGTGGGGGGCGTTTCCGGCAGCCCTTTCCCCTGATGGGACGGTCTGCTGATGTGTTTCTTGTTGCTAGATTTGATTTGCCCCACCTTTTGTCCTTATGCAGGGAGGTGGGTTGTTCCCTTGAATGTATACATCTTGTACCTGTGTTAAAATAAAGTATATTTCCTGGTTTAATACACTGGTGTTGTCTTAGTCTTGTATGGTCAGCCGTGGTGTTCGGACAGGGAAGCGGGAGTCTAACGGAAATACCCTAGTGCAATCAGGGTCCGGTTCCGTTACAGGGGGGGAAGGGGGTGGTAGACACAAGGCTGTCAAGCCTATCCTTCCTAACTTGCCAACTCAGAACAAGTATGTGTGGATCAGATAATTGAGACTTCATTGACTGGATGCTTGTGTCAATCTAGGTACTGATTTATAGCAGAAAGAGGGTACTGCCATTAGTTCTCAGTATACGCTGCTTGGCTGCACACAGCTGGCTTTCATTTTTATGGTCTATTGATAAAATTCAAGTTACAGTGTGGAGTCCAGGATGCACCAGAGTGCTCTCTGCTTAATGCAGCACAGAGCTCTATGAATGGAGGGCTGGTCATGTGACTTACAGGTTACCTAATCAAGCTCTCCACCCAGATGTGTTAGAATGGCCCAGTCACAGTCCAGACCTAAATCCAATGGACAATCTGTGGCAAGACTTGAAAATTGCTGTTCACAGACGCTCTCCATCCAATCTGACAGAGCTTGAGTGATTCTGCAAAGAAGAATGGGCAGAAATGTCCCTCTCTAGATGTGCAAAGCTGGTAGAGACATCCCCAAAAAGACTTGCAGCTGGAATTGCAGCGAAAGGGGGTCCTACAAAGTATTGACTCCGGGGGGCGAATACAAATACCGCCACACTTTTCACAGATTTATTTGTAAAAACATTTTGAAAACCATTTATCACTTTCCTTCCGCTTCACTTTTGTGTTGGTCTATCACAGTGGTCGGCAAGCCGCGGCTCTTTACAGAACTTAGATGCGGCTCCTCTGTGTGCCGGGCGCCCGCCCCCCTCCCTCCCTCCTCTCGGGCGGCCGCCCCCCTCCCTCCTCTCGGGCGGCCGCCCCCCTCCCTCCTCTCGGGCGGCCGCCCCCCTCTCCCTCCTCTCGGGCGGGCCGCCCCAAAAGTCAGGACTCTGCAGCTGTCAGGATGTAGGCGGGGCAGCCAGGATGTAGGCGGGGCAGCGTGACGAACTCCTCTCCTCTCACAGTCCGCCCTTAAGACCAGAACGGCGCGGGAACACGGCGAGAAGAACGCGCGGAGCAAAGGTAAGTGAATTGACACAGGGGGGACTTAATATGGGGGATGAATTACTATATGGGGGATGAATTACTATATGGGGGACTTGGGGACTTAATATGGGGGATGAATTACTATGGGGGATGAATTACTATAGGGGGGATGAATTTTCAGTTTTAAAAATGTGGCTCTCAAAATAAATTTCAATCGTGGTTTTGGCGAGATTTGGCTCAGTTGAAAAAAAAGGTTGCCCACCACTGGTCTATCACATAAAATCCTAACAAAATACATTTGTTTTTGGCTGTAACATGACAAAATGTGGAAAATTTCAATGGGTATGAATACTTTTTCAAGGCACTGTATTGCTGATAGTCTAACCCAGTGCTTCTCAACCTTTTCCCAGTCAAGGCACCCTTCAAAATTTTGGAAAGCCTTGAGGCACCCCATTCCTCTTAAGATTGTATTTGGCTCCATCCAACTTCCCATCAACTCTGAACTGTCACATGTCCCAGAAGACTACAGGGAGGGAAGGGGGAAGGACAACTCCGTGGAAGTGGGTACCAGTCAAATTTGGGTACCCGCCCCTCCCCCCCCTGCTTCCCAAAGGTTAACAGTCTCTGGTCATCTCCTGTACTATGTCCACAGTGGAAGGAAGAATGGAAGGCAGAATCAATGAATTAGCGGTTTGCTTGTACCAGTAGGCAGTTACTGTATACAATGGAAAGAAATATCAATGAATTAGCTGTTTGCTTGTACCAGTAGGCAGTTACTGTATCCAATGGAAGGCAGAATCAATGAATTAGCTGTTTGCTTGTACCAGCAGGCAGTTATACAATGGAAGGATCAATGAATTAGCGGTTTGCTGCTGGTACCAGCAGGCAGTTACTGTATACAATGGAAGGAAGGATCAATGAATTAGCGGTTTGCTTGTACCAGTAGGCAGTTACTGTATACAATGGAAGGAAGGATCAATGAATTAGCGGTTTGCTTGTACCAGCAGGCAGTTATACAACAGAAGGAAGGATCAATGATCTACCTAGAGAGCTCACCAGAGCCCTGGCAGTTCTTCATTGAGAACTACAAGCCGTCAACTGCAAAGGCTGTTGATACTTGTAATTCTCCAAGTCACAGAACCCTGCGAATGTATGACATGGATGGGTGGGCAGAGCCCTGCATTGACACATTTTTACAAATTGTGACAGCGGGTGCAGGGAGAGGATCCTCGGCTTGCTGTCACAACAGAGGATCAGAGGGTATGGAGGCCACTGCAATAGTAACAGGTTACATCCTGAATACGGGTGTAACATGTTATAAAAGGTGAACTTATCCTTTAAATGTAAAATGGTGTGTGAATATAGTGGGGACAATAGAGAGTGAGTGCCTCTGGAACACTGATGTGAATGGTTTAGTGTTCTCTGTACAGGATACATCAGAGTTATATAAATGTATAATTTAGTGTATGACTGTGGTGGGGACATTAGAGTGCAAGCTCCTTTGGTGTAAACCTGTGGTCTCCAAGCTGCGGTTCCTGGGATGGATGTGGTCCTTAGCTTGCGAACGATCAGGCACTATTCCACTAAAACCAATGATGGGACATTGTTTACTCCCACTAACCACCAAGCCTGAGGCATTACGTACCCTCACTGATGAGGGGCATGTTCTACTCCCACTTGCCACAGTCTGACCCCCCTAAAATCTGAGGGACAGTAAATTGGCCCTTTGTTTAGAAAGTCTGGAGACCCCTGGTGTGGACTGATGTTAAAGGTTCAAGGTCCTTTGTAGAGCACTGAAGAATATGCCAGATCTATGTATAAAATATTGGGGGACTGTGGTGGGAACACAAAGGGTAAACTCCCCCTGTGCAGAGACGGATGGGGGGCGGTTTCTATTTGAGTGCAGCAGCATGAGCTGGTGCTAAATTCACTTCAGCTCTGAAAGGAACCATAACACAAACACAAATCAGTTATTGTGATATCGTTTACGTTTTATTTACAAACACTTTCTATCTTTCATTTAGGAAAAAATATGCATTAGATATGCCAAGTTTCAATTGGCAAAACCAAGATAATACAATTCAAAAAAAAAAACAAAAAAATCCTTAACGATGGCACCCTGCTGTGCAATGAAATTGAGGCCTCTCTTTAATTATCGGTAAGCAAGTCCTCCTGCCTCAAAAAACAAAGCAAAAAACAAAAAAAAATCTTCACTTAAAAATGAACTGAAAAAAGAGCATTTGCCAACAAAGTAACTTTAAAATAACTGAGGACATCGCATATGAAGAAGACAATGTCGCTGAAAACAAACAAGGCGGCTGTCCAATCCAGATGCACATATATAGCGGAAATGTGTATCCCGTAGTTGTCTTCCTTACACTAGTAGGCCTTTGGAATTCAAGGCAATGTGAGAATCAGGGGAGCTGTTGTGGGTGTAAACTGTGATCCAGGACCCCATACACTTCCCAAACCCAGTGACAAAATCATTGTCTGCACTGTAACATTAGTACAATGTAAAAGACTAGCAATAAAGATTTCATAAAAAACAACTATTACATTTATACCGGTCTACAGAGTGTACAACATAAAACGTCTGTTTAAATAAGTGAACCTCTGAGAAATGGGAAAAAAATGTACACAATGATCCCTATAGTTCTACTTCACATCCCGGAGCTTGTAGAATTGTTGGGGAAGGTCAGTGATCTCACGTTCTGGGAGATTTCCCTTCTGTCGTCGTCGTCTCCTCCTTGGCCAAGTGTTTCTGGAAAGAAAAGGGCATTTATTATTGCTGCCTACACAGACCAGTCACAGAAATTCCAGTAAGTTTTGAAGAAAAAAAAAAAAAAAAGTAACATTTTGATTAAAGACTAAAAAGAATTACAAAATCAATCTTCCTGAATAAGAAATATTTGGCTAATGAATTATGAACCTCTTCCCGCCCGGCCTACGGCCGAATGGCAGCTGGCAAAAACACTCACCTTTCTGGGTGGACGCCATATGGAGTCCTTTTGGGCATGCAGTTTGCGCGCCTGCAGAGCCGCGATCTGTCACCGGCTGTACCTCGGACACGGCCGATGACAGATCTGAGTACCGAGCCGAGTTGCCGGTACCATGTGACCTGCTGTGATCGATCACAGCAGGTCACATGACAGTTGTATACAATGGATGGCTTCATTCATGCCATCCATTGTATACTAGTGTCTAGCTGTGAATGGTGACAGCGATCATATGCACAAGCTGGGCCAATCACAGCCCAGCTGTGTCATGTGATTAGCTGTGGCCAAATCACAGCTAAGCACAAAAAAAAGCCCGATTGAATCGATGTCATTCAGGTAAATGCTTTCTTATAGCAAAGCAATTCTTTGCTATAAGCAAATTGTGTAAAAAAAAAAAAAAAAAATACTGATCACTTTCCCAAAGTAGTACAATGGTACTATGGTAACATTGTACTACTTTGGCTATAGTGAAATATGAAAAAAAAAAAATCTTAAAAAAAGAAAACAATGTAATAAAAAAAGTAATAAAAAAGTAAAAATAAAATTATATATAGTTTTTTTTCCCCATACTGTCACCAGTCAGTGTCCCTGATCACCGCCATGCCAGTTATATGACGACGCTGTACTGCACTGGTGACAGTATGTAAAAAAAAATAGTGGAAAATTATTATTTAAATTTTTTCATTTTCTGAAAAATGACAAACAAAATACAACTTCAAAAAACTCGCCATGCCTCTTATGAAGTACGTCGAACTGTCTACTTTGCAAAAAGGGGTCATTTGGGGGATATCTGTACTGTTCTGACATTCTTGGACCTCAAGAAATTAGATTGGCTGTCAGTACTTCAGGATTGATCAATATTCAGATCTATACCATAGTTTGTGAACTCTATAACTTTCCTACAGACTAAAAAATACATCCTAATTTGGGTTATTTTCACCAAAGACATGTAGCAGAATACATCTCGGCCTAAATTTATGAAGAACAATTATTTGCAAACTTTTATAACAGAAACATAGAAAAAAAATTTTTTTTTCTTCAAAATTTTCGGTCTTTTTTTGTTAATTTAGCAAAAAAAAAAAAAAAAAAACCCAGTGTTGATTAAATACCACCAAAAAAAAGCTCTAGTTGTGTAAAGAAAATGATAAAATTTTAGTTTGGGTACAGTGTTGTATGACCGCGCAATTGTCAGTGTGAGAGCGCTGAAACCTGAAAAATGGCCTGGGCAGGAAGGGGGTAAAAGTGCCCGGTATGGAAGAGGTTAAAGGGGAACCAATGTTCGCAATACTTACCTCTGCTTGAAGAGTCCGAGATCCCACACCAGCTTCTACCGGGTGCCGGGCTGTGGCCACCTTTATTGGCTGGCATAGGATGACCTCACTTCTACGCAGAAGTTCAGCCATCCCGGGACTGAGGATCTGTGCCGGAATGTAAACGGAGCTGCACATTCTAAAGACGACTGCGAGCGGCAGGAAGGTTTATTTACGGCAGAGAGGCGCTGAATGTCTTCTGCAATGACGGGATTACCTGCCTGCAGTTTTTAGTAATTAGAGACTTTAGTTCTGCTTTCAAGTCATAGTGAAGCCATGTGGTTGATTTTTTACTATGGGTAAGCGTCGAAGGCTACCTATAAGCTGGTTACAGCACAGATGCATTTGCACTTGAATCTGAATGGACTATGCTGTCCATTCACAGCTCTGTGCCGCAGCTCGGCCATTCACACAGCTGAACTCCGCAAACCCGAAAGGAAGACCAGTTGAAGATGGAAGCACCGGGACCCGTGGTGGGCTTAGTTTTTAGGTAGGTCTTACATAATTAGCTGGTAAACAATGAAAATAATTGGTATCTATGTATATATTTTACACAGAAAATCGGTTATGTATTGTGCTTTTTGCAATAAAATTCAGAAAAGTGTATTTTTTCCATAAAACCTGCATTTGAAAAACCACTGCACAAATACCATGTGACATAAAAAATTGCAAAAGCAGCACATTTATTCTCTATGGCTGCTAATTAAAAAAAAAATATATAGAATGTTGGGGGGTTCTAAGTATATTTTTAGCAAAAAAAAAAAAATGATTGCTATACATGAACAAAGTGCCAGAAATAGCCTGGTCTTTAACCACTTCACTGCACCCCCCTTCCTGTCCAGGCCAATTTTCAGCTTTCAGCGCTATCACACTTTGAATGACAATTGCGCGGTCATGCAAACACTGTACCCATATGAATTTTTTAGCATTTTTTGGAGATAGATAAAACTTTATTTTCGTAGTATTTATTCACCACTGGGATATTTATTTTTTTCCTATATAAAGTCCAAACATTTTGAAAAAAAAAAAAAAAGTTTTTCTTATAAAACTTTGCAAATAAATGATCTTTCTTCATAAATCTTGGCCAAAATGTATTCTGCTATATTTTTAGTAAAAACAAAAATAGCACAAATTAGTTTATAACCAAAAATTATGATTTGTCAAAAATTATTTTTACATTATTTTTTTTTTAATTATTTTTTTAACATACCGTCACCCTAGCAGTCCAATGTCATCATAGTGACACTATATTATTTGTGGGGGTTAAGAAGAATTTTTTTTTTTTTTTTTTAAAAACACACACACACATTGCTTTTTTACACCCATAAAGGCTGTAATACCAATCATTTCTCCTCTCTGGCTGCATTCTTCCAGCAATTGAGAAATACTGAGAGAGCTGTGATTGGTCACAGCTTGTCACTTGGTACAAGGCTGTTGTGAATAGCCTTGTACCATGTGATCCTTCACAGATTTCACACGTAGTAAGCAATGATGTCAGGAAGTGATATCTTGCTTGCTACTATTCATGTGATCACTGATTGGCCAATCAGTGATCACATGATTGACACCTCACACAGAGGTCCCACCTTCCCCTGCACTGCTCCCGTCCGGCTGTTTATGCACATGGGCCGGACGGAAAGTGGATAAAGGAGACGTACAGCCAATGCTCTTTTGGCTGTACTTCAGTGACCCATTTTCAGCTGACAGCCAGCTGAAGTCACTCAGCTGGTTCAAGCTGGGGAAAGATCTCGGACTTCAAAGTTGGGATCCACCCTGGAGTGTAAAGCAGCACTTGGATCAGCCTCTCAGCGAGCCGCTGAGAGCCTGAGCCAGCCACTCCCCTCGCCCCTTCTAAGTCCAGCGCTCCAATCGCTACCAGTCATGATAATTCAGCGATCATGTGATCGCTGAGTTCTCACACTTTGAGCCGGTGGGGGACAGATGCAGCATCAGGTCGATACTGCATCCACCTATGTAAGTAACTGGGCAAAAAAAAAAAAAAAAAAAATAAATCCTACTTCTCATTTAAAGTGGTTCTATAAAGGCTCAAGGTTTTTTACCTTCATACATTATATGCATGAAGGTAAAAAACCTGTTTGTAGCAGCCACCCCCCCCCCCCCACTTATCTGAGCCCCATCCCGATCCAGCGATGTCCATGAGAGCCTCGGTTCTCTTAGGACTCTCACTCCTGATTGGCTGAGGAAGCCATTGCCTCCCACTACTGTCAAATACATCCAGTGAGCCAATCTGGAGATGGAGGGGATGGGGCCAAGTTAACATTCTGTGTGTGAATGGACACGCAGGGCCAAGCTTTTGAGCCGATGAGAAGGGAGGGAAGAGAGAGAGCCTCTGCTCTTGTCCACATTGCTGGACTGGGCTCAGGTAAATATATGGGGGAGCCACATGCCAAAGGTTTTTACCTTCATGCATAGAATGTGTTAAGGTAAAAAACCTTCAGCCCTTAGAAGCATTTTAATGAGGTCTTACCTCTGCAATCCAAAATCTACTTTCCGTTTAAATGGACTCAATGCAATAATTACAATACCTAGGAGATGGCAAAACGTGACTACATACCACCACCTAGTGGCTAAAATGCATACAAACGCTTTCAAAACACAATTTCAGTACCTGCACTGCCTGGTAATGGCGCAGGCTCTTGCAGTGTTTCAGCTTCGATGCATCATCCATGTAAAAGAGCGAACACAGCTCACAGAAAAATCCAGTCTTCGGAACAAGAAATTCTAGTCCTGAAAAAAAGAAAAAAATGTAGCTTTTGAAAGACATTTAAGACAGGCAGTACAGTGTAGAGATGCAAATGTGATGATGCAGCTAATGAGAAACACCACGTGCTGAAACTACAAGCAGAACTAAACCCTCCTATCCTTGTCAGCCAATGAAGCTGCCATCATAGCCTCTGATCTGCAAGTGCCATGATGTTGCACGTGATCAGTTCTTACACCGGCCATTTGATGGTTTGACAGTCTGGTGGACAGCACAAACGTAAACAGGACAGTTATCATTCCCCTCAACCACTTGCCCTCCAGAGGATTTTCCCCCTCAGGGGTGTGGGAATTTTGGAAAAAAATACTTGTCCAGGGACTAAATTGGTGTCCCAATCTACTTGTCCTGATAAAAAATTTTTTTTTTTTTTTTTTTTTTTTTTACAAAAAACTCTATTTAAAATCGAAGGTGCTTTATGGAATGTCTGGGGCTTTTAAAAACAAAAAGGGTCTTTATGGCAACTTAAACGTTTAATATTTTTAACATTGTGCTGTATATCTCCTCCTCCCCTCCCTGCCTGTCTATAGCATGGGGACTAGCATGGAGGGGAGAGACCTTGCAGTGTAATGAGCCCCGATTGGCTGCTCCTCAGGAAAGGGAAGCGTCAGGCTTATCCTTTATCCCTTTCGCTGCCAAAGCCGTTTTTGCACACGTTTAAAAAAAAAAAAAAAAAAAAAATTTTTTTAACCCCTTGTCTACCGGGCACTTGTACCCCCTTTCCTGTCCAATTTTCAGCTTTCAGCACTGTCGCACTTTGAATGACAATTGCGCGGTCATGCAACACTGTACACATGACATTATCATTTTTTTTACACAAAGAGCTTTCTTTCGGTGGCAGTGGCCAGCGGCGAGGTTTTTTTCGGCACCTGTAAAATCGGTGCTTTTTTTTTTTTTTTCATTTTAGCCAATGGCAAAAAGGGGTGTTTTTAGCTGAAATGCTTCGGCCATCGAAATTTCGGCGCATCCCTATAAAATATATCCAATAAAATCAAATTTCATCATAAATTTAGGCCAAAATGGATTCTGCTACATGTCTTTGGTAAAAAAACAAAAAAAAAAAAACAAAAAACAACCAACCCAATAAATCTATAATAATTGGTTTGTGTGAAGATTATCACGTCTACAATCAAAGGGATATATATTTGAAAATTGATCATTTCTGATGTATTGATGGCTGATCTCATTTTTTTGAGGCACTAAAACATCAGGGCAGTCTGGGGCATATAGTAGGAGGCATGGTGAGTTTTTTGAAGCTGTAATTTTTTTTTTTTTTTTAAATAAATATACGGTCACTAGCACAGTACACCAAATCACTGGAGGGGCACTGAATGGTGACAGAATGTTAAAAAAAAAAAAAAAAAATTTATTCCATCTTTTTAAACTTTTTTTTTTTTTTTTTTTTAAACTGTTAACTGATAAAAGGGTGTGTAAATTAAGAATAAAATTGTAAAAAAATGTAAGTGTCACCATAGTAACACTACTACTCAGAGGAGGTGATCATGGATTTTTTTTTTTTTTTTTTTTTTTACCACTTTGCTGTTACAATGCAGATCATTGTAACAACAAAATGTTCAACTGTCATGAATGGGTTAACAAATCATGACAGCTGTGATCACTAGTGATCTGTGATTGGCTACAGCTAATCACATGGGACAGAGTGCTGTGACTGACCCCCATATATTTCAAATGGGAAAGTCTGCAAACTAAAAAAAACCCTGAAAATTAGTGTTTTTCAAGCCTAAACAACCATATCCTCCTAGTAACTACCTTTCCATTTATGTGAAAATGCAATCTAAACCCTGTTGCTGGCGAGTACTAGAGAAAGATTGCCATGCTGCACTGATTTGCATCACCTGACTTGAACACGTGGGCTCAATCCTGAAAGGTTTCTCCCTGCACTCTTCTTAAGTTAACCACTTCCCGTCCGGACATTGTATATAAACGGCCGGACGGTGGCAGTGCAGGGTCGGGTGGCCGTTTATAAACGACCTCACCGCACCCTGCTTGCGCGCGCTCCCTGGGAGCGCGCAGCACCGCAATCCGGTGTCCCGCTGTGTCCTCCAGACACAGTGGAACACCGATCGTCAGACGGGACCTCTGTGCGAGGTCCCGATCACGTGATCACTGATTGGCCAATCAATGATCACATGCAGAGTAGTAAGCAAGATGTCACATCTGACATCATTGCTTGGTATGTGTGAAATCTGTGAATGATCAGAGGTCACATGGTACAAGGCTATTCACAACAGCCTTGTACCATGTGACAAGCTGTGACCAATCACAGCTCATTCAGTAGTTCTCAATGACTGCAAGAATGCAGCTAGAGAGAAGGAGAAATGATTGCTTTTACAGCCTTTATGGGTGTAAAAGCAATCAGTGTGTATAAAAAAAAATTTTCATCACAATGGTGACACTGTACTGCTAAGGTGACAAGTATGTAAAAAAAAAAAAAATCTAAAGAAAAAAGTGTTTAAAAATTATAATTTTTGGTTATAAACTAATTTTTCTTTACTAAAAAGATAATTGAATACATTTTGGCCAAGATTTATGATGAAATACTCTATTTGCAAAATCTTATAAGAAAAATACTTTTTTTTTTTCAAAATTTTTGGACATTTTCATTTACATAGCAAAAAAAATTAAAATCCCAGTGGTGAGTAAATACCACAAAAAATAAAGTTTTATCTGTCTCAAAAAAATGCTAAAAAAATCATATAGGTACAGTGTTGCATGATCGCGCAATTGTCATTCAAAGTGTGACAGCGCTGAAAGCTGAAATTGGCCTGGACAGGAAGGGGGTAAAAGTGTCCGGACTGAGAAGAAAAAAAACCCACTCATCTCTGGGTGATCTATGTACATTGCAAGGGTTTTAACAAATGTTGCAGATTCCTACTTTTTGTTATTCTGAAGAAATAGCGGTTTAGTTTGTCTGGTTCCATGTGCAGAGTGAATCTGTATGGAGTGAGTTTCTAATTATCAGATGCTGTACTTGCAGGGCTCTTAATAGGAAAGTGGCAGGGTCTGCATCCCTTTAGGAGCATCTTATAAAAAATGACAGCTTTGTTGAAGTAGATGCCCAAAATCTGACATGAACCTTAGTGCAGACTTCTGTGAAATCAGAAAGCCAATTGCACAAGCAGGAAATGACATTTCTGGGAGGCGTTGTGTATATAGAAGGCCTCCACTTAGCCATACTGCATTTTACAGAACATTACAGTGCAGCAGAATGAAAAAGGAAATTTTTAATAGCATTCAATTACAATAGGATGTGTTTAGCAATTGTATACGCTATATTTTTTGAATTTGCTATTCCCCCCACCCCAATGAAAGTGGAGTTTACCCTTTGAATTCCAGTTTTGTTAATACAGATTCTAATGAAAAGCCATAGTGGTGCTAAAGATCACAAAATTGTCAAGATGATCTGCTGATCTATGATTGGGTGATCCTGCAATGTGCGCAAACTCACCCACGGGCACCGAAGCATTAAATGGGCTTAATTTTGTCTTCCCTGGGGAAGGAGATTCCACTTTTGTTTTCTTTGCCGGGGTTCCAGTAGTTTTAGGCGTACTTGAACCTGAAATAAAAAACACGAGAGGATGGAGTTAATTTATGTTGCGATACAGTGATAGTACCACTTATTTTGACTTTTTCCTGCTGAGAGACAGCAACAGTTGCTACACCAGCTCCATCTGGATGTTGGGATAGTACAATTTGCTAAACCAGCCATAACATCGCTGAATAAAGGGGGCGACGCTTCACAGCAGGGTGCATAAAAATCGATAAAAGCCTTTTTTTTTTTTTATTATTTAAACGGGATATTTTTTATTTTTATCAAATTTATTTTAATAAAAATGCTTTTGGAGTAAAATCTATCTAAAGATAGTTTTCTATTTAAGATACATTATTTTAGTATAATTCAGCATGAAATGGAGTGTAGTTGTGTAGCATACGGCTGTATATTCTGCAATATTTACATTTTTGGTAAACTCATTTAATGAATCCAAGCTCTGTGAGCTGCAGGTAACATGCACTGCATTGATGTATTCACACAATGTCACAGTAACCATGAGGAAAAAACAAGAAATAAAAAGAATTTGAGTCGTTCAACTATGTGTGATTAACCTAAAATCGCTTCTGATATCGCTGTACTACTGACCTGACAGCTTATTATTCTACAAAGGAAATCTTCTTTTGGTTTGCAAATATTAAAGATTCTAACTTCCTCATTCCTCACATTTAAAGAGCACCTGTCATTTTAGATCCATTATGACAGTGCCTGTTAGCGGGCATCCACTCTCCTGCTACCGCCACGTCCCTCACCTTGTGTCCCTGCCGCATCACCAGCCATCCCATTAAAGTGAATGGGACTGTCGGTGAGACAACAGCGGGTCAGAGGAGCCGCCGCTGTGGGACAGAGATCACGGCTGCTCTTTAAAAATTATGATTTCAATTGAGCCTTTTCACTAGTGATTTAAATCAAATCCACCCTGCTTCAGTGTCTTCACCCGCACTGACATCAACCCTGAACCAGCTCTTGGTCCACCCCTAAGGACAATTCATTTCCAGAGAGGTAACCCTGATCTCCAAATCCCTTTAAATCAAGACAAGTAACAAAAAGGAATCCATTCGGTGCCACAGTATGCCTTCTACAAAACCCTGGAGAACATGCCCAAAAGTCGTCCTCAGAAGTCACTAGTAGTATAATTTTTGCTTATAAAGGTGAAGAGCAATGTATGCATTTAACTTCTTGGTGCCGAGTGGCCACAGATTTGCGTGCAATTAAGAAAAACATATGTGCTGAGAGCGTGTGCCCTGCACGCTCCCAGCACACATGTCCGGTACTTAGGGAAAGGTCCCGATCTCCTCTTTCGATCGGGACCTTTCCGGATTATGTGACGGCGTGTCACGTGACCCTAAACCCTGCCCAGCCTCCTGGCTTCTGAAACCCGTAAAGGGCCGGGAGGCGCTGGCGCAAAGGGGTTAATACCTCCCCTTCTCCCCCAAAGATTAAAGTGCTACTAAATCCAGAAGAGTAAAAATCAGTCTGTATATACAGTAAAGCATGCTTGCCATTTTCAATGTGGAACCTAAGGGGTTAAATCCCATCTTCTCTGATCCTCCCCTTCTTCCATTGTCCCCAATCTATCAGCTGATAGTACAGAGCTCTGGGAGTCAGTTTAGCGTGTACTGCTATTTTTTTTTTTCTTCAGGAGGGTGCATGTGATCAGCACAGGGCCAATCATCACTGTCCAGAAAGAGGGTCAGGGGTTAGGCAGCCTCATAAGACAGTCAGATAAGAATGAAAACTCCTCCAAGTTTTAACCAGTGCTCTGCTGGACACTGATAGAAGTCACAAGACTGCTATATACTGCTGCTGAGAAAATGTATTTAGCAGTTTATATTTACTAAAATAATTGTATTTCCATGTTGTGTGTACTGTGGGAGAGCGGATATAGTGAATGCGGGGGTCCGGGGAGAGCGGATATAGTGAATGCGGGGGTCCGGGGAGAGCGGATATAGTGAATGCGGGGGTCCGGGGGAGAGCGGATATAGTGAATGCGGGGGTCCGGGGAGAGCGGATATAGTGAATGCGGGGGTCCGGGGAGAGCGGATATAGTGAATGCGGGGGTCCGGGGAGAGCGGATATAGTGAATGCGGGGGTCCGGGGAGAGCGGATATAGTGAATGCGGGGGTCCGGGGAGAGCGGATATAGTGAATGCGGGGGTCCGGGGAGAGCGGATATAGTGAATGCGGGGGTCCGGGGGGGAGAGCGGATATAGTGAATGCGGGGGTCCGGGGAGAGCGGATATAGTGAATGCGGGGGTCCGGGGAGAGCGGATATAGTGAATGCGGGGGTCCGGGGAGAGCGGATATAGTGAATGCGGGGGTCCGGGGAGAGCGGATATAGTGAATGCGGGGGTCCGGGGAGAGCGGATATAGTGAATGCGGGGGTCCGGGGAGAGCGGATATAGTGAATGCGGGGGTCCGGGGAGAGCGGATATAGTGAATGCGGGGGTCCGGGGAGAGCGGATATAGTGAATGCGGGGGTCCGGGGAGAGCGGATATAGTGAATGCGGGGGTCCGGGGAGAGCGGATATAGTGAATGCGGGGGTCCGGGGAGAGCGGATATAGTGAATGCGGGGGTCCGGGGAGAGCGGATATAGTGAATGCGGGGGTCCGGGGAGAGCGGATATAGTGAATGCGGGGGTCCGGGGAGAGCGGATATAGTGAATGCGGGGATCCGGGGAGAGCGGATATAGTGAATGCGGGGATCCGGGGAGAGCGGATATAGTGAATGCGGGGATCCGGGGAGAGCGGATATAGTGAATGCGGGGTCCGGAGAGAGCGGATATAGTGAATGCGGGGTCCGGAGAGACCAAATATAGTGAATGCGGGGTCCGGGGAGACCAAATATAGTGAATGCAGGGTCCTGAGAGACCCTGGACCCCCTTTCAAGAGCCCTGAGCGTTTTATTAAAACACATCCCCGGCACCCCTACAGATGTGCACTGCTCTTTCCTGCTGAAGAATATAGCCGTGTAACCTGCTGATCAGTTTGTGTTAATTGAGTTTGAATCCATTGAGATTTTTCACTCACTCTCCTGTGAAACCAATACAAGAAATGGGACAGAGTGGTCTTCACCAGGAAAGGAAATTAAAATACTGCCAGAAGCTCTGCCCCTTCCTAACTCTACTAAACATGCTTGTTCTCGTTTTGATGTGTTCCTGTTAGAGACCTTTCGCCTAATTCCTTGTAGTGAGGGAAATAGTTCTCTTAAGAATTATAACATGGCAATAAAAGCCTGAAAGAGGCTCTAATCCTCTGCACCATAATAAACAAATCAGGCTGCAGCTTGGCTTTACACTGTGTCGGGGGTTAGCTTGCCGACAGCTTAAATAGTGTGGAAGTGCTGCCAGGCCCTGCTTTCTATATGTCTGTATGATCTCTGAAATGTATTTATAAAAGGGCAAGGGAAACCAGAATATATACAGATTATCTACTCCTCTTCTCCACGACATATATTCACACATCACCTACCAGCTGCAGGTTTATCCGGGGTGGTAACAGCGCTACCCCCTGCTTTGCCCTGATCAGCGCCTTTAGCTGCAGGTTTGGTCTTAGTCGGGGTCTTCTTGGGCTCACTAATACTGGAATCAGTAGACGTCTGCAGTGATGTGTCCTTTGCATCATCAGCGGATTCAGATAAAGGACGTTTTCTGGGTCTGCCTCTTCGTCCAGCTGGCGGTTTGGATTCTATTAAGATAAAAGCATGGGTCTGAATGCTGCATAAACATTGGCTTTTCTGTACCTACAGCAAATGTTGACTGCAAATCCGAGCTGAACGGAAATCGATAAAGAGTGCAATGCTTTCAACCCTTTCCCTGCTAGGCCGCTAACTCCTGCCTTTCAGTAGGAAGCAATCAGGCAGCTGTGTTGCTGCCTGATTGCTTCCACGGCCACCTGCATGTCTCACTAAAGAGAACCTGTCACCTACAAATTATCACATAGGGGACACAAAGTCCCGTATGTGATAAGAAAAAAAAAAAAAAAAGTATTTTTTCTACAAAAAAAAAAAAACAGTTCCTCACGCACATGACACTCTCCACCTAAAAAATGTTGAGTGCCCTCCCCCCATGCTTGTACGAATGTAAACGAACACGTCAGACTGCCTACATGTGAAAAAGTCGATTGCAATACACATACATATGGCTGCGCATGTTGGAGAGCAATAAATCCAGTACAAGACCTCCTCCTTAATGCTAAACTTGTGACCTGTAGGGGCTTTTGAAGCATCGCCTATAGAAAATATGGGGTACTGAAGTTTTTCACCATTTCATAGGCCCACACAAATTTAAGGTTTGGCATGTTGAGTGTCTATTTACTCAGCGCAACATCATCTTTTATATTTTACTAAAATCCGGGTAACTTATTGCATCCATTTGCCCTAAAATTGACTTTAGTGTGTTTTTTTTTTTACAGAAATAGTGCACTTCAGAGACCTCTGCGGTAATATCTTGTGACATAAATTGCAACTACCACTATTTTATTCTCCAGGGTCTTCGCTTTTAGAAAATATGTTTTGGGGGTTTTGTGTAATCTTAAGGCCTAAAATTATTTTTTTAACCACAAGCCTACAGGGCACTTATACCCCCTTCCTGCCCAGGCCAATTTCCAGCTTTCAGCGCTGTCACACTTTGAATGACAATTGTGCGGTCATGCAACACTGTACCCATATGAAATTTTTATCATTTTGTGACAGATAGAGCTTTATTTTGGTGGCATTTAATCACCTCTGGGTTTTTCATTTTTTCTTAAACCAAAAACCACTGAAAATTTTGAAAATAAAAAAAAAAAGGTTTTCTTAGTTTATGTTTTAACATTTTGTAAATAAGTTATTTTTCTCCTTCACTGATGTGAGCTAATGAGGCTGTAGTGATGGCACTGATGGACACTGATAGGTGGCACTGATGGGCATTGACAGGCATCACTGATGGGCACTGAAAGGCAGCACTTATATGGCACTGATAGGCGGCACTGATAGGCAGCTAAGATGGGCACTATGTGGCATGGATGGGCACTGGCTGGTGGCATGGATAAGCACTGACAGCTGGCACTGATGGACACTGACAGGTGGCACTGCTGGGGCTACACAGATCATCAGTGCTCTGATGATCAGTGTACATGTCCCCTCCGAGGAATGCCGATTACCGGCTCTCCTCTTCCCTGTCAGCATGACAGCTCATGAGGAGAGAAATGCTGACTAACCGGCATTTCCCTGTTTACATGTGATCAGCTGTGATTGGACACAGCTGATCACATGACTGAGCCAACATCTTCGACTCTTTCCATTGATCGGTGATCTGCTGTGTCCGAGGGACACAGCGCCCCGCCGATCGCTGCGCACTCCCGGAGCCGCGCATGCGCGGTTAGAATGGGAGGACGTCATATGACGTCCTCCCAGAACGAGAGAAACGCCTCGTGCCTGTCATTGTACTATATGGCGGGCAGAAGGCAGTTAAACGTGTGCAAAATAGGCTCTGTCAGCAAAAGGGTTAAACATTTGAACCCCAGGACAATTCTGACAACGCTCACATACATGTAAAAAATCTGCATATTTTTGCCAAAAAATTAAAAGAAACCTAAGCATTATGTATATATTTTTTAAAAAGCAGAGACCCCGGAGATTAATATGGTGGTTGATGCACAATATCACTTTCTTTTGTATCGCAGATAAATTTAACCGCTTAAGGACCGCCCTATAGCAGATATACTGCTACAGGGAGGCACCTGTGTGCAGGATACGTCATTCTGCATTTCCGGGTAGGGAGCGCGCGAGCCCTATCTGTGCGAATGTCAATCACCAGGTCCCAGACCTTAATGACCCGCTGGTGCCTGGTGATTAACGAGCATCTCCGATGGGGAGGAAGATTGCTTTATTTACAAACAATCTTCCTCCCTATCAGCTGGAGCACACTACTGGAGATGGCTGTGCACAGTATAGCCATCCCGATCAGTGTGCTTACAGTGAAGAACACCCCCCCTAGTAAAACACTCCCAGCACACAGTTAACCCTTTGATCGTCCACATTAACCCTTTCCTGCTCAGTGTCATTAGAAGTGCCAGTGCTTTTTATTATCACTGATCACTGTATTGGTGTCACTGGGGTGTTAGTGACATCAAGTTAGTCCCCCAACCCCCCAGTGTCAGAATGTTCGCCGCAGTGCCACTAAAAGTCACTGATCACTGCCATTACTAGTAGGTGAAAAAAAAAAAAAGAAAAAAAAAAACCATCCCATTGTCTATACCGCCATTTGTAAACACTATAACTTTCACATAAACCAATTAATTATTACACGTATTGGGGGCTTTTTTTTAGCAAACACACGGAGCAGAATACAGTTTGGCCTAAATTTATGACAAAATTTGATTTTTTTTTAATGAACATGTTTAATAGCAAAAAGTCCAAAATATTGTTTTTTCTCAAAATTGTTGGTCTTATTTTGCTTATAGCGCAGAAAATATATATATATAAAAAAAAAAAACAAAAACACACAGGAGATCAAATACCACCAAAAAAAGCTCCATTCATGGGAAGAAAAAAACCCCATAAAGTTAATTTGGCTGCAGCATTGCATAACCGCGCAACTGTTAAAATAACGCAGCGCCGTAACGCAAAAAAAGGCCTGGTCATGAAGGGGGGGGGGGGGGGGGGGGTAAATCCTCAGGAGGGCAAGTGGTTAATTACAGTACTAAGAAGTTGTAATAATTGTAATCAGTGTGTGAAGGTTCTAAAGCACACGTGAGAAAAATCTATATGACTGGCTCCATGTACAGATACGACCAATATGTTTACCAACTTGAAGACCAAGTTTTTTTTTCTAGCACTTTTTGTTTACATGTAACAATCAGTATGTTTTGCTAGAAAACATCTTACAACCCCCAAATATTATATATTTATATTAAAGCAGAGGCAGTCGAGAATAAATTGGTGGGTTTTGCAATTTTTTTTTATATCACACGATACTTGTGCAGCGGTTTTTCAAACAAAATGTTTTGGGAAATACCCATTTTTGAAATTTAATGCAAAAAAACTAAACATAATACAAAACACAAATTGTTTGGTAAGATATTAAAGATGAGGTTGCACCAAGTGAATAGATACCAAACATGTCATGCTTTAAAATTGGGCATGCCCGTGCAACTGCGACAAACATAAATTTTACTATTTAGGAAACACCTTTACAGGTCACCATTTTAGATTTATAGAAGAGGTCTGGTGCTAGAATTACTTTCAATGATTTGATTTTTAAGGCGATGCCTCATCACATTTATTGCAGTCACAAGGAATAAACATCCGTTGTGATAGCAATAGGCATGTGACAGCTAGTTAGCCATTCTGATTGCTTTTACAAGAAAGCCGACCATTGGTACGGGGAAAAATGGTACCCGTACGTCGCTGAAGTGGTTAATCTACAAGGTACACTACTAAGCACTAACAAATATGAAGAACTGCAAAAAAAAAAAAAAAAAGTACAGTTTCTATTCAACACGTTAAAACTAACCTGGCGGTGAAAATTTAGGACTTGTTTTACTTTTGGGTTGTATCGATATACTTGACGGTTTGGGCTGGGACTCCTCCACAGCTTCCTTTTTAACCTCTATATCTTCCTCCTCTTCACCAATTTCATCCACTGTTAAGAATTGGTGTTCTATATCACCTAGGAAATCATCCTCCTCCTCCTCCTCCTCATCTGCCTTCACCTCATCCAGGGTGAGAAGAGGCTGTTCTGCCTGGCTCTCTTGGTCTGGCTCTTGGGGATGGACATCTGGGGCTTCTGGATCTTCCTTTTTTTCTGGGTTTGCACTCCTGTTCTCTTTGTTCTCTGTCTCCTGTGTTAAACATTTATCTGGATTGGATGTCTCAGAATGTGAGGTCTGTTCCTCATCTTCGCCGCTGATCTCGTCGAGAGTCAGGAGCTGCTCTTTGTCGAGGATGGTTGAAGAGACCCTCGGTACAGCAGGACCGTTTGCCTCCTCATCATCACTAACTTCATCTAATGTCATCAACGTGCTTGACTCCTCTGTGTTCGGAGGAGGGCAGTCTTCTTCATTGACTTTGTCTATTGCATGTGCTTGGTCTTCGGCGTGCACTTCATCTACTGTCATTAGGGATGAGGCTACCTCATTTTGGGCACCTTCTGGGGAAGTTGTGTTATCCTCCTCATCGCCAACCTCATCCAAAGTGACAAAAGAAAGCTCCTGAGCTTCTCCGCCTGCCTCCTTGGGCTTCTTAGTGTCTGAAGTAGGAGGATAATCTTCCTTTCTCTTTCCTCCTCTCTTGGTGGCACCAGTTTGAGATGGCTTCTCTTCATCCTCCTTCTGTTTTTCTGTATGTTCTTCTACAATCTCATCCACTGTAACAAACTCATCCAGATTGAAAGGGAAAGAATCTGCTCCTTCCTATGAAAGACACAAAACGAAAAACAACAATTGTTGTTAATAGGCACTTGACATCAAATTAAAGCGGAACGTCACTCTCTCAATCAACATGGACTACCGATATTTTTAATACTTATGCTAGCACTAGTAAATAGATAGGAAAGTATATCAAATTTACTTGTTTTAGCTTTTTTTTTTTTTTTACACATTTCTTCAGTTACTTTTGGGTTTCTTGCCTAGGCAAAGGATGTCATACATCCCAGGAGTCTTTAAGAGGGGAGGAAAGGTTCTCAGCTCAACCAATGCCTGCGCTAAGGGCAGGTGGATTTCAGGAAGTAAATGCTACATGAATCATCTGCCCTTACTCAAGATGGCCACTGCCAGAAAAGCATTTCTGGCAGTGGCCATCTTGAGTAAAGATGGTTTTCAAAATTCTCAGCAAAATGAAGCATGGAGACATGGATGGATGAATTTCCTATGAATATTAACAATAAATTATTAGCATTTTTGGTTTGTGGCGCTCAGATGCAGTGCAGTTCACCTTTGAGACACATGGGCAGTGGGAAACAAATGAAATTCCAAGAATTTATAATGTTGCACTTTGTGATTATCCCACCCAGCGCAAAATTTAAAATTGATGGAATACGGCTATTTTTCTTGAGCTCTGCACGGCCAGTTATTACCCAGGACTGAGGCTTCCCAGGTACCCAGGTAATTTTTCACAATCTTAAGCCAGCCATACACTGATTGAAATTCAGACTGATCTGCAAGGACTGGCTGAACTTCAATCCATGTATGGGCAGACTGACTGTACACAATTTGATCCATTAAACGACTTTGATACAATCAACCTGTTGGATTTTTCTGCATGCGATTACTGCCAGCAGCTATAGCCACTAACAGTAATCATTGTATTTTAAAATTAAAAAATTAGTGAAGCGCTTGTATCACATGAATACAATCATGTATCTCCATATAGTGTAATTATAAATCAAAGTGACCACTATATATAATAAATGTGTGTTGACTCCCTCTAGTGAAAAGAAAAAATAGTGTCAACCAAAATAGCTAAATAACACACATTAGGAAACTAAATATATAGTGCATAAATCAAATATAATGAACAGAATATATATATACGTGAAAACAGAATATTGGCCACATACAATGGTGTCTAAATTATACATAAATGATATATGCCATAGGTGAACAAGACAATATCAAAGGTGAAAAAAAATATTCCATGCATGTGACTGTGCTTTAAGCTGGAACACACACGTGATCTCCACTTCTAAGTGCAAGTACTCTCCTTCAAATGGCAGCAATGCCTGCTCACCTCCCTTCCTCGACCCACACAGGGCCTCAAAGCAGTTACCACCTCAGTGGTGTATTCCTCTGGCAGACTCCTTATTCCTCCTCCTCTCTTATGCAACTCATAAAAAGACAAGAAAGCCTTCCATAGTGTAGTAAATTTAATAGGCAAAGTTAAAAATTACAAAGTTTTCCACTCACATGCTCCTTTCCATAAAAAAGCGTTTTTCCCAGCCTGTGGGTAGATATGCATGCACCTGATGAAGCCACGACGCACGTGACGCTACGTGTCGGTTTGTCTACTTCCTGGTGACGTATGTCCGGACACAGTGGCCATATTGGATTCCCCCAGGTGCATGCATATCTACCCACAGGCTGGGAAAAACGCTTTTTTATGGAAAGGAGCATGTGAGTGGAAAACTTTGTAATTTTTAACTTTGCCTATTAAATTTACTACACTATGGAAGGCTTTCTTGTCTTTTTATGAGTTGCATAAGAGAGGAGGAGGAATAAGGAGTCTGCCAGAGGAATACACCACTGAGGTGGTAACTGCTTTGAGGCCCTGTGTGGGTCGAGGAAGGGAGGTGAGCAGGCATTGCTGCCATTTTGAAGGAGAGTACTTGCACTTAGAAGTGGAGATCACGTGTGTGTTCCAGCTTAAAGCACAGTCACATGCATGGAATATTTTTTTCACCTTTGATATTGTCTTGTTCACCTATGGCATATATCATTTATGTATAATTTAGACACCATTGTATGTGGCCAATATTCTGTTTTCACGTATATATATATATTCTGTTCATTATATTTGATTTATGCACTATATATTTAGTTTCCTAATGTGTGTTATTTAGCTATTTTGGTTGACACTATTTTTTCTTTTCACTAGAGGGAGTCAACACACATTTATTATATATAGTGGTCACTTTGATTTATAATTACACTATATGGAGATACATGATTGTATTCATGTGATACAAGCGCTTCACTAATTTTTAATTTTATTTTGCACTTATTGGTATCAGCTAAGTGACAGCAGCTGTATTTTGTCAATTATTCCCATGAGCGCAGGAGGATCCCTTATTATTTAATCATTGTATTTTGCCAGGGAAGTCTTTGAGCTGCCCCCCTCCGGTAGAATGCAATAGCGCTGTGGGTGGGATTTTCCCATTAACCTCTTCACGCCGGCCGTACACAAATGTGCGACCTCCTGGCGTCTGGGCCTAGATGCCGAGCGGCCACACATTTGCGTTCTATTAAAAAAGGACACATGCGCCGAGAGTGCGCGCCCTGCGCGTTCCCAGCACATGTCCGGTACTCACGTAAAGGTCCCGATCTCCTCTTTCGATCAGGACCTTTCCCGATCATGTGACCGCTGTGACGGCACATCATGGCGCTCACATGACCCTAAACCCCGCCCCGCCTCCCGGAACCCTTAAAGGGCTGGGAGGCGCCGGCGTGAAGGGGTTAACACAGTCAGTGTTGGGGGAACCTAGTGATTTTCTTTCATTCTACCTGTGCTAGAACAAGCCAACTATAAAAAAAAAATAAATACAAATTGTAATGGAATGGTCCAAAATAAAAGCTGCTCAGACGCAAGTCTCACCTCTCTTTTGATCTTTGTCCCCGATTCTTTCGAGTGGAGTTTCGTACCCACCTTCCCATTGACGAATTCTGCACAAAAAAGGAATTGTATGTCAAAAATGCAGAAAAAAAATATTCCTGTTATTTTAAAAACATATAAAAAGACCCGTGGCCAAGATTTTATGGCTTTCATCAGCTTGCCATCCAATTTGCAGTATGTGTAAGGCCAGTCCAATACAAGAAATGTGTATGGAGGTCCGTACAGGTCTGCTTGTCAGTTTTTCATGCCTGATCAGACTGTCCATTCACCTCTATGGACCATTTACAACCACCTGCCTCCACACTGCTTAATAAATAAATAAATAAAAAAAGGGTTGGGGATCTGTTTCCCCTATGTGGTTCGGATCCGAGGGCAGTTGGGTGTAAATGAACAGAGGAGTCCATTTACTCATGGTCAACCATAGAGCAGAGTGGCCACTGTCCATGGCCGTCCTGCATAAACTGAATAGACACGGACCTGTCATCCATTCACTCTGCTCACAGGGGATCGGCGGACAGATCCCATGTTGATCAAAACAGTCTGCCCTGTGTGCAAGGCGCCTAACACTTTTGAATGGGGGGTTCAGTAGAGGCAGTCCACATATTGTCTCGAAACAGGTCCCCTTTAACAGAATGATAACAAGCTATTTAGATAATATCACCACTGCTGCTCACCACTATTACCACTGAATTTAACATTCTTACAAGTGATATAAGGGACTTTGTAAAAGTAGTAAAGGATAATATGAACTGTGGTTTATTTTTGGCAATGATATGACCAATGCGTTTCTGGTATAGCTGAAATCCAATTATCCTGGCTGCATACGAAAAAAGGTTTATGCCAACGACACCTGCTGTTCCTAAAGGGAATCTGCTACTAGAGTTTCAGGCTGTATTCCAATTCTGGTGATGTGTGATGAAGAAGGTCCCTTTTTGCACAAAAATATAAGTCCTCTACAGAGATTCAGATTTCCAGTCTCCAAAATTACACATATGTGAAAAAGCATTTCAATGTATAGAATAAGACAACTGTCAAGCAAACTACACCAAGACAAATTAGGTACATTGTACTCCTCAGATGCCTTTTACTGTCAGAGTAAATGGTGCTGACTGCACTGTCTGGGATACACCTGCATCCACTGATGCCTACAGACATACCGAGCACTATCTCGATGTGTTACAACAAGCTACAATACATTTCAAACTGTTGTGCTAATATAACCAAAAATACACAGCATTTCAACTCTTCCTGAATATGTCTAGTTTAAACCAGTGTTTCTTTACGATTTTTCAGTCAAGTCACCCTTTGAAATTATGGACAGTCTTGAGGCACCCCATTCTAAAATGTAAATAACTTCATATAGTTTTATATAAAGCAGCAACATTAGGGACACCAAACATTAGAGGTGATGTATTCTTCCAAAGCAAATACACTTTTGCAGACTGGTACTGACTAGTATTCCAGTGTTTCTCTTCTCCCTCAATTTTTCTCCATCACTGAGCTAAGATGACCCCAGCATGGATGGAAAGGGACAGAGGAGGGTCAAAGTAAGATGCTGTGCAGGCAACTGACATCCTCCTTATCAACTGATGTGATTGGTTGTCAGGACGTCAGCGATTAGAAGGTGGTAATGGTGCACGATGAAAACCTGTGGCTTTGTGTAACAGGCAGGTTTCTTCCACCCGCTGGCTCGTATACAAGTTTTGGGCACTTTGTAGACATTTTGCCAAGGCACCCTGGGTGAGAGAGGGTGGTTTACATCATTTATTATGCACTGTTTATACTGCAAGGATGGGAGAGAAAAAAAATAAGCTGACAACTTACCTAACTATATGGCATTCCACTTGCATTCTTCATAAAGTAAAAAAAAAATCCAGCTGGGAGTATGCGCGCCTATTAAAGGGGAACTCACAAATAATATGGGCAGTACAGTGGCTAAATGGTTAGCACTTCCGCCTGGCAGTACTAGAGTCATTGGTTCGAATACCAGCGACGGCACCTCCTGCCTGGATTTTGAATGTTCTCCCTGTGCCTGCGTGGGTCTCCTCCAGGTACTCCAGTTTCCTCCCACACTCCAAAGACATGCTGGTAGGTTAACTGGATCCTGTCTGAATTGTCCCTAGTATGTGTATGTATGAATGTGAATTAGGGACCTTAGATTGTACGCCCCTGGAGGGTTAGGGACTGATGTGAATGTACAATATATAGGTGTAAAGCACTGCGTAAATTGACTACGCTATACAAGTACCTGAAATAAATAAGTAAGGTCCTCCAAAGGAATAAACCGTTAACGCTCGGTTCACACCAGCCCGCATGCTGTGGGCCGCTTGCGGGTGCAGGAATCGCAACTGGTCCCGCATCCGCAACCACCCACAGCTGAATTGTGTGCTGCTGTTGCAAGATGCACAGTGCTGCCATTCATTCTGGGAATCGCAGGGAAACCGTATTGTCAAAAAGACCATGCGGTTTCCCTGAGGCCGCATTCTCAGAAGGTGCATGCATCTTTTTTTTTTCCTGCAGGATACACAGCACAACAGCCCATACAAATAAATGGGCTGCCATGACCAAGGAAACACCGGCCGCCTGGCCCACAATAGTGTGTACCGAGGGTAAAGGTTTTAAAGCTGAGCCCACTACTGGATAAACTGGTAATCTATTAGCTACTAGGAGTTCAGTATTAATTCATCAGCATCAATTTGGGAGGAATAATCCTTTTTGGCGGCTTGCTCTCACACTCAAGTAGCAGAGACAATAAAACGACATCAGTTGATTCCAATATTTATAATCGTTTAGCATTGTTTGCAATGCCAGGATATTCTGCGGTCTGCTTTCCCCTCGGCCAGAGTGTGATCATGAACAAGGATTGTTCAGCAGATAAGGGAGATATCAGAAGGAAGGTTTCTTTGTCCATCACCCACAAGGAGAAGGTGTGTTCATATTTCACCGAAAGCAGAAAAAAACAAATGTAAGGGCTCATTCACACGTGTGTTGATTACTGAAGAATGAAGCAACGCTAATTAATGAGCCTATAGCATTTATGAAATTTTTGAAGCGTTGAAAAAGCATCAAGATTGCTTGTAAAATGCCCATGAAATTTTTTTTTTTTTTTCTAGTGGGAGGTGCTCAAGAGCCGATTCACACATGGGGTGTGAATTGAAGGTCAGGTTTCACAGCTGATACAATAACTTGACCAGTTCAGGTCCGGTTTACATCAGGTTTAGAACAGGATCAGCTCAGGATTTTATCCTGTTCACACAAGTCAGGTTTAGAAACGGTTCTCATAGAAGTCAATAGCCTGTAATCTGCACCTGAACCGGACCGCACTGCTCAGAAATTGGACATGACTTTTTAAAACTGCACCAGACACATATGAACAGGCACCATAGAAAGCAATGATTTTTTCACGTCATGCGGATTGGATGCGATTCAAACCGGATCCAATCCGCATATATTCAAACCGGCATTAAAGGAGAAGTAGAGGAAATAATCTACTTTTTGGAGGCATGGTTAGGTTGTGGTGTGACAGCAGGCATTTTTGTAATTTCTCTGCAAGATAGATTTGTATACTTTGATCTGACACATGGCTTGGTCCAGTTCAAGAGGATCATGGACATATTGTCACAGTCACTTGCTGGCACCGACACTTTGCTGACACAAAAAGCTTTACCACTGGCAATAATGCTCATCGCTTCTGCCTGTCTCTGTCAGTATTGCTGTCTGGCTCTATGCTTTTGCCTATAAATTGGTGTCACCACACAGATGTTATGTACAAACAGGAAGTGGCTGGAACTGCTCCATCCCAATTCTCTATTATTTCCCAGTGCATTCTGGGATAAAAGAACCTCCATTGCCTCCAGCTTCAGCATCGAGATAACCCTCTAAAACTCACTACCCCAATCCACCAGACTGTCACCAACTCTCCTCACCTTTAGGCGCACCCTGAAAACCCATCTCTTCAGGGAAGCCTACCCCGCCCTCACCTAACAGCTGATCTCCTCCGCTCCTCCAACCACTCCATCCCCCACAGCCACTTCCTCCTGTACCACTACCCCCTGGCTCCTAGATTGTAAGCTCCAAAGAGCAGGGCCCTCGAACCCCTTATGTATTGTAATGTCACTGTATTGTCTCATTTACTGTCTCCCACTATAATGTAAAGCGCTGAGCAAACCTTTTGGTGCTATATAAATCCTGTATAATAATAATAATAAATGCTTCACTACAGCGCCATAAATGCTATAGATTGGGTTAAGGTGCATTACCACCAAAATGAATGCATAAATGTTGATGCCTCGTGGTGCATCGTGCTGCTTAATGTTTAACACAATGCTACAGCACCTGCGTGTACCGCACTGTATGGTGCCCACTGCGATATTCTTGGTAGACACTGAAGAGCGGTTTTTGAGGCTTTAAAAATGCTAAATGCCACTTAAACACAGGGTATTGACGTGTGAACAAGCCCTTAGTGTAAAAACCAGAAGACTTACTTCTAAATAATCTTACCTAGTAATGCAACATAAAGGGTTCAAACATATGTACCTTTATTAAATTCTGAGAGCTGGACGTGTCACCTGTACTCTGTACTGTGCCATCAGCAACAGATTCAAAGCAAACCGGCTGCAAAAATAATCAGTACTGCAATTACCACCAGATATATATCTATTTGCTATATACCCAAAAGTCTGGAAAGAGCACATCGACTCCAGCCTGGGGCTGCATAACATAAGCTATGTAGCAAGACAGATTAAAGGGGCCCTGTAACCATATCAGGGACATTAACCTCTTAGCGCCAGCCGAACGAAAATGTGCAGCCTCCCGGCATCTGGGTCTAGACGCCGCCGCGGCCGCACATTTATGTTCTATTACAGAAAAAAAAACAAAACAAAAAAACACGCTGAGAGCGCGCGCCCTGCACGTTCCCAGCACACACATTTGGTACTCATGGAAAGGTCCCAATCTCCTCTTTCGATAGGGACCTTTCCCGGACATGTGACTGCAGTGACAGCGAATCATGGCGGTCACATGACCCTAAAACCCCGCACCCCGGCTTCTGGAACCCTTAAAGGGCCGGGAGGCACTGGCGCCAAGGGGTTAAAATTAAGATCTGAAAATCTCATTTTTTTTTACTTTTGTGCTAATGGTACGTATAAGTCCCC